CAAAATAGGGGAAGGTTACACGAGGAGGGTTATATTTATAAACTTTTTATTTATAGACTCTTACAAATTATATTATATTCTTCCGAGAGAATACTATGTTATAGTATGTTCTTCTGGGAGAACACTAGATTATACTATGTTTTTCCTGGAGTACATAGTATAATTTACAAAAATTTGTAAAAAGAATTTGTAAACGAATCCTTCTTCAAGTTATATTTATAAACTTTTACAAACTAGATTATGTCTTACAGACATAATATAGTTTGTAAGTGTGTAAAAATAAAATTGTTAATATAACCCAAAATAATATGGCATGAAAAAAATGTATAGAGCTAGCTAAAGGTAGGTCATAGGAAAGGGACAACATATTAATGCATCACAAGTTGAATTAACGGAAGTTTTCAGAACAAGACGATGGATGGGGTCTTCTGTATCAGTCCCGAACCTACTCACTCTTCCCTTTTCTGACTGAACATTTGTCAACGGATTTGTTTATGGAATATTATAGAATCAGTCCTCTTCCTTCAAAAACCTGAAGACGGTTTCTTCAAAACTTGTTACTGTTCCCTACCCCACTCTTTTCCTCTTCCCTTCACTATATATACATCAAAATGAACACAACATTAACATCCATCCAAACTTTGGTTTCTCATTTCCCATCACCTCCTACCCTATTCCCCCAACATTCATTATCTATATATTTCTCAACCAAGGTAGTGGGGAATATAACTCTAATTAATTCAGCTCTTTTTTCTAATATCCTCAATGAAAAAGCACATTTTGATATGTTTGTGCACTTACTTAGTATATTATATGAATTTGAGCATAATACACATTTTCTTTCATTTTTCAATTTTTTGGTTTTGCACATGTTCTTAATTTATTTACATATGCAGGGTATAACATGTCTCCTGCAATGGCAGTAAGTGATCAAAGTGGTGGTGATGATGATACACGAGGAAATCAATATCAGAAAGGGGTGAAGCAGCTTGTTGAAAGTGGCCTTCACACGATACCTAAAAAGTACATACTTCCTGCTTCAGATCGACCTGTTACAAATACAGAACATCCAAATGTTGCTAAGCAAAATCTTGAGCTACCCATCATTGATTTTTCTGATTTGCTTGGTCCAAGTAGACCCCAAGCCCTTCAATCCTTAGCCAATGCTTGTGAACGGTACGGATTTTTTCAGGTAAGTAACTGGCAACATAAATTTTATGAACTTATGAAGCTCTAAAACTTTATAATCTATACATGTAGTTGAAGGACCAGGAATATAAATAAAATAAATAAATAAAACAATTTACCAGCAAAATAGTGTCCAAAAATAAACTTAAGCTTGCTTGTAGAGTTGACTCTTTGATAGATGAGAAAAAGTAGTTATTGTTTAGAATGATGTGATTGAAAGTTTGTATTTGTTTGATTGATGCAGCTGGTGAACCATGGCATCTCAGATGAAATTATAAAGAGCATGATGGATGTGAGTGGAAGGTTCTTTGATCTTCCTTTTGAGGAAAGAGCCAAGTACATGACAACTGATATGAAAGCAGTGGTTCGATATGGAACTAGCTTCAGCCAAACCAAAGACACCGTGTTCTGTTGGAGGGACTTCTTGAAACTCCTCTGCCATCCCTTGCCTCATTTCCTACCCCATTGGCCTTCTTCCCCCGTGGACTTTAGGTATGTACTCTTTCACCTTAATTAATTAAGCTATACTATATTTAATTAATTTGACTAATCAATTCACTCTCCCACTTTCTCCCTTTCTTCCTCTGTCTACGTGGACAACATTTTTAAAATTATGTACTAATACTTGCTTGTTAATTTGATAAATGGCATATTTAATTTGGAAAAAGTGTGTTTAAAAGAGAGATAAATACAAAAAAGCAAGACTCATTTCTTTATTTTTTTTTGCAGTGAGACTCACACCTCTTTATATTTGTCTCTCGTATTAAAATGATCTAAGTTTACATTCTTTAAAAGTATACATATTTTTTTTATTTAATTTTTCTACGGAAAAGTATTAAGTTTATACCAACGAGATTGACTCCGATAGAATTATACAACATGGGTTTTGAAAAGTAGGGTCGTGTAAAATAACTGAACCTTGAAATGTGGCTGTATATATCCATATCACAAGGAAGGTTATATTTACAATTTTTTTTTTTACAAATTTTTACAAACTACACTAAGTATGATCGATCATACTTCAATCAAGAATATATGACTGGTCATACTTAGTATAATTTAAAAAAAAAAAAAAAAAACGGATCCTTCCTCATCCATCGTATCTTGAAATGAAATAATATCCTTTCTCTTAAGCTTCCTTTGAGTAGGATAAATTTCGATGCATAACACTTTTTCGACTTACTAGATTAGGGATGAAAGTTGATTGTATACAATTACACCGTTGCATTTTTATAAAGAGATTATTTTGTCAAACTCAAATATGTGGAACAACCAGAACTAAAAAAATATTAATAACATAAACACTAGGATAAGGACAAATTTCTCTTGGTATTTTTTTCGTCAGATACAATGTGTGAGTGTGTTTATTCTTGATTTACATTAAATGAAGGCAAGTGGCGGCTACCTACGCGGAAGAAACCAAAAACTTATTCCTGAGGTTAATGGAAGCCATCATAGAGAGCTTAGGAATAACGGAAGCCAACGAGGCAGAAGGAAAGGACAATATTATGAAAGACTTGGAAGATGGGAGCCAGATGATGGTGGCCAATTTCTACCCACCATGCCCTGAACCAGACCTAACCCTTGGGTTACCCCCTCACTCTGATTATGGCCTCCTCACACTCCTACTACAAGATGAGGTGGAGGGTTTGCAGATCCAATTCCAAGGGAAATGGTTCATTGTTCATCCTATTAACAACGCCTTCGTTGTCAACGTTGGTGATCACCTAGAGGTACACAAATTCATTTTCCATTTTTGCAACAAAAAAAAATATTAATGTCATGAAACATGAGAGCCCACCATTAATTGTCTAATAAGAATTTCAAACCATTGTATATGATATCTTTTATTAGAACTTAAGAGATGGTATAAGGACTATAGCAATAACACACATAATCAAAGGTAAAGAAAAAAAGTTTGTTTTAGTTGACACTTGACATCAATGTATGGTTATGTCTAATAAATTTATTATTATATTTTTGTTACTGCACTTGTTATAATTAGGGGTGTAAATAGGTTAAGTCGGTCTACAGAGGCCTATGATCTAACTTATATTAGGTCAGACTTAACTTATTACAAATAGTAAAATAGAACAGGTCTATACTTTTAAAAATATCTATTTAAAAAACAGGCTATAGACTTTTTTGTACATGTCAGTCTATAAGCCTACAGGCCGGCCTATATCATATTATTTATTTTAAATAAAATTCAATAATAGAGTAATATTATTTTAGTTGTTCTTTTAATTGTTGAATGTTTAATAGGTTTAAAAAAACTAATAGGCCTAGGCCAAGACTTTTATTTTTTAAATATAGGTCAAGCCAGACTTGTAATTTGGAGTTTACACAGGTTAATAGGTCAGACCAGACTCAATGTTTTTTACACAAATCTGACCTATATAAACTAAAGTCTGACCTAGCTTAACCTATTTATACCCATGATAATGTATTCAATTACAAAAAAAAAAAAGAGAGTAAATTTTGAAAACTCTAAACTGCAGTAATTATTTATGGATTTAAATTCAAACTTAACAAATAGGAGCCTAAACATCTAGGGGGTGTTTGGTAGAGATTTTTGATGGAGATAATCAGACAACTTCTAGTGGTATTTTAACATAACTATGTTTGGTAGAAGTTTCAAAAAAAATTAACCATGCAAATGCTTTACCCAGCCATTATGTTTTGTTTGCAAAATTTGATGAAAAATACTATTTCAAAAAACCAAATGGAAGGTGGTATTTTCGTTTGCTCGGAAAACAAAAAATGGAGCACAAATTTGGAGATGAAAACGCCGCTGGTTTACTTTTGGGAAAAGTGGAGTCTCTTAAAAAAAAAACCAGATGGAAGATGGTATTTTCGTCTTTTCAGTCCACTTTCTCATCAATATTTTATTTTCAACCAAACATAGATTCAGAAAAATTAACCCAATTTTTTCAGTAATATCTCAGCCTACCAAATAACTTTTTTTTAACTTTCTTACCAAACTCATTTTCTCATCATATTTTTAATGATTGTATTTTTCTAGTAAAATTTTTTTTTTCTTCTACCAAACACCCCCTTATGCCAAAGTAGGAAATACATATTAGGATAAAATAAACTCAACCACATATCTCAACCAAAAAATTGCGTTGAATTTATGAATTTTTTTTTTTACTTCTGTGTGATCATTACATAGTCTATTTCTTTTAATTCACCCTTAAATTTCCAAAGTATTAATAATACAAATATTGAGTCTATATATGCACATGTCAAAAAGTGATATTTGCGGGTTCTATGTATTTAAGCTGCTGCTGATTCTTCTATTTGATTTGCCAGATATATAGCAACGGGAAATACAAGAGCGTGTTACATAGGGTTGTGGTGAATGCAGTGAAGAGTAGGACATCGGTGGCTTCACTTCATAGCCTTCCTTTCAATTGCACAGTGAGACCGTCACCCAAACTCATTAATGAAGCCAATCCCAAACGTTACGCAGACACCGATTTTGATACTTTTCTTGCTTACGTCTCCACCACAGAGCCCAAGAGAAAAGATTTCCTTGACTCTAGGAAATTGACTTCTACATGACTAGAACGAACAAAAATATAAAAATAAAAAATAAAATAAAATATATCTATATATATATATATTGAATTGAAGTGCCATTGCGCACAAATAATTGATTAATTGTTAGGGGAGAAATATATGTAACATATTAATCATAATTTGGTTGGACCACTCTGATTGTCACTGATATCACAGACTTAGATTTTCGCTATCTTTTTTTCTGTATTATTTTTATATATGTTTACTCGTGATCAGTCTCGTGAGCAAAGATGCTAGCCTGGAAAGTCCCTACCTCTGCTATATCTTGAAAGAAAATTTTGGCAAAGCGTGGTCTACATAATTAGCTAGGTAAAGGAACATATATAATTCGATACATATGGATGGTACTTAGTTAATTATTGTTAAACAAAATTTAATATTAGATCGCCGAAGTTTTCCTTCATATTCACACTGTCACGGAATAATATGCTGTCATGCATTAATTTGTAGTACTCTCTTCTTTTGGACATTTTCTTCCTCTCGCCTTCTCTTCCTCACAAGTTAATTAACCATAAAATACTAAATAGGACAAGTAAATTACTTACTCAGAATAAATATATATCGTTCGTTAATCAAGACCAAACTATGCATGTGTAATGAGAAATTACATAATTTCAGAATTAAGGGGGTTGTTAGAAGAGAAGAAGATGAGAGAGAAGAGAGAAGAAAGAGTAGAAAGAAGATTCATTCAAAATATGCATATCTCATTCATACGATACTAACATCTTTATAGTGCCCTATTCATAATGGGCCTTCCTACAATTATCAACCATTGTCTCATATTACAGCATGTGAAATAAAGTACTTCTATTACCACTTCCCAGCCCAATGAGACATCAGCCAGTCTCATAGTCCTCCAAGTGTTGAGGCTTCTTGCGGATCCGTTTACTTGGGCCCAATTCATTAGGGAGATCCGTTACATCCCCCTTTGGTTCAAGCGAATCCTTGTCCTCAAGGATAAGTGGCGGTCCAATAAAATCCGCACAGCTGGTCTTAATATTTGTGAAAGGTGGATCAGATGAGTAGGTGGGAAGTAGCTGCCCTCATTAAAGCTAGGCGCGTCTACAGCAGGTATAGCTGGCACATGCATTGGTTGTTGGTTAAACGAGGGAAGCTGAAAAGTCTTTGGGTAAACACAACCCATTAACTCCTTGTTCAGAAGCTCCTCGTTTGTATCAGATTGCTTGGGTTCCTCAGATGATACTTCTCCTCCCATTAGAGTCTTGGCCCCCCTTGAGTCGTCTTCTTGTCCCAGTTTTCCCTGGTCACCTTCCTTGAGATTGAACCCTGATGTAGTTTTCGTGTGAGGTTGTGGTTCCTGATTCAAAACTAAATCCTCATCTTCCCATGTACTGTCCTCAGGGGGTAAGTCGTGCCACTGCATGACAATTTGTGCTACCCTCGTCCCTTTGCGCCATACTTCCCGGTTCCCCACAATTGCTGCTGGCGTATGTGCCATCGGATTATCACGTGGAGCGTGTGGTAGATCATGGATCTGGTACTGACGATCCGATTTGAAGGGCCTCAACAAGGATACGTGGAACACTGGGTGGATGCGAGCCAAAGGTGGAAGCTTTAGGCGGTAAGCCACCGGCCCAACTCGTTCCAGCACTTCAAAGGGCCCATAAAAGCGCAGCGCGAACTTCTAAGACGATCTTCGCTGAACGGACAGCTGACGATAAGGCTGCAAACGGAGTAAAACTTGCTCTCCAATAGTAAAAATCTTGTCTTTACGTTTCTTGTCAGCTTGATGTTTCATTTGAGTTTGAGCTCTCACCAAATTTTCTTTCACGGTGGCGAGGAAGGAAGCTCGAAAGGCTAAGGTGTTGTCCACGGCCTCGTTTGAGGAGGATCCCAGCGTGTAAACCAGTAGATTGGGAGGTGGCCGGCCAAACGTAATCTGGTACGGAGTCATGCCGGTTGAACTATTAAAAGTCGTGTTATGATGATACTCTGCCCACGCCAAATATCTGGACTAAGAAGATGGATTATCAAAGGTAAAAGCCCTTAAAAATTGTTCCACACATCTGTTTACCCTTTCTGTTTGGCCATCGGACTGAGGGTGGTAAGCTGAACTGAACCGTAATGTGGTCCCTTGCAAGCGAAAGAGTGTGGTCCAAAAATTGCTTAAAAATAAAGGATCACGGTCGGAGATGATGGATCGAGGAATGCCATGAAGTCTTCCGACCGAATCCTAGAACACCTGTGCGATCTTTGCTGCGGTATAACGTGGTGGAAGGGCTACAAAGTGGGCACCTTTGGAAAAGCGATCCATAATGACAAGGATTGCTGAAGATCCATGAGACAGGGGTAGGTGAGTAATGAAATCCATACTCAAGTCAGTCCAAGTCTCTTCTGGTGGTTTGATAGGTGTTAACAGTCCGAAGGGTGAGTGATTGAGGGGTTTTATCTTTTGACAAATTTCACAGTTTGCCACATACTCACGAATGGTCTTCCTCATTCCTTTCTAGGTAAAGTTGTTGGCAATGCATTGCAGAGTACCAGTGAAACCAGAGTGACCCCCTTGGACCGAGGTGTGCAAATCATGTAATAAGTGGGGAATGATGGAGGAATTCATGGGGAGAACGATGCGGCTGCGGAAGAACATCAATCTGTCTTTTACTTTCCATGTGGGCCATTTGGCCGGTTCAGTCTGTAAATCTTGTAATATGTTCTTACAGTAGGAATCTTGTTGTAATTCCTGTAGTAGTAGGGCTTTGTAATCACTAATGGGACCACTCATAGCAGACAAATGGGGCTTTGTAGTGTCGAAATCCCCTTCTGGATGCCTGGACAAGGCATCTGCCACAACGTTAGTTTTACCAGATTTGTATGTGATAGAGTAATCGAAGCCCAAGAACTTTGACAAAAAGGACTATTGCTCCGGTGTTTGAACAACTTGATTCATGAGGTTGTGCAAGCTCTTGTGATCTGTCCGGATGGTAAAAGGTACCCCCAATAGGTACTGTCTCCATTTAGCCACTGCGGATGTAATACCGAACATTTCGCGAATATACGTAGACTTAGTGCGCATAGTGGGGGCCAACTTCCTACTATAGAAAGCAATAGGATGATTATTTTGAAGCAAAACCGCACCTACTCCGATACCGTAAGCATCTGTTTCCACCACGAACAGTTCTTTGAAATTTGGCAAAGCCAAAATAGGTGCTGTTGTTAGCGACTTTTTAAGCTTAGTGAATGCCTCTTCAGCAGCTGAGGACCAGCTAAAACCTTCCTTTGTCAAGAGGTCAGTCAATGGGGCGGCAATAGAAGCATAATGGCGTATGAACCGGCAATAGTAGCCAGAGAGACCCAGGAAGGCTCTGACTTGAGTAGCTGAGGTTGGAATGGGCCACTCTAAGATCGCTTTGAACTTACTAGGATTCGGTGCTACACCGTTGCCTGAAATAATGTGGCCCAAGAATTGTATAGAAGGTTGAGCAAACAAGCATTTGGACAATTTGGCAAACAGTGTATGAGTCCGTAATCTGCGTAAGAATTCAGAGAAGACTTGATTCACGGTTGCTTGGAATGTAGATGGGGCATTGGACAGCCCAAATGGCATAACCAAAAATTCATAGTGGCCATGGTGTGTCCTAAATGCTGTTTTATGTATATATGGGGGCATGCATCTTGATCTGATGGTAACCAGATCTGAGATCGAGTTTTGAAAACATTGTTGCACCATATAATTCATCCATTAGTTCATCAATAGTAGGAATTGGAAATTTATCCTGCACCGTGACAGCATTTAAAGCCCGATAGTTCACACAAAAACGCCATGTCCCATCCTTTTTTTTGACTAGTAATACCGGGGAACTAAAATCAGACTGGCTAGGACGAATTACCCCATTTTGTAGCATGTCGACAACCAGGTTCTCTATCTCATTCTTTTGGAAATGCGGGTATCTGTATGGTCGAACCTGGACAGGTTTGGCATCAGGAATTAATGGTATGCGATGGTTATTGGGCCTATCTGGAGGTAGGGAATTTGGTGCAGCAAAGACGTCTTTGTATTGGTCCAATAAGGTCTGGACTTCTGGGTTCTACTCACTGTCATTCTGTTTCAGTGAGGCAGAAGTTGGTGGTGCAGCCACAGCAGACAAGCACATAATACAAGACTCTAGAGACTTCTGAGCCACTAATTTGTGCAATTGAGAGGAAGTAATCAAGCTTGCTGCAATCTGTTGCTCTCCTTGAAGAATGACGTGTACCCCTTGAAATTCAAAGTCCATTGTCAGCTTTTGGTAATCAGTCACAATAGGTCCCAAAGTTGATAGCCATTGGACACCTAATACCATATCTGCCCCTTGTAATTCCAAGACAAATAAGTCCACATAGAATCGGTGACCTTGAATGTCTAAAGGAACCGATTGACACATGGTTGAATAAGTAAGTGAGTCACCGTTCCCCACCTGCATATTAAATGGTGGAATAGATAGCAATGTAAGGAGTAAGTGAGTAGCTACTCTAGGAGTGATAAAATTATGTGTGTTGTCACCGTCAATTAGGATTTGGACCGACTAGCCCATCACAGTGCCCAACAAACCTGAATGACTTTGAGGAATAAGTGCCAAATAAAGCATTAAAACTGATTTCTGGAATCTCCTCAATCTCTTCTATGTGTGCATTTGTTTCAGGAATTGGATCACCAGTATCAGGGGGTTCATCCTCCTCAAGTCCTTCTAAATACAATAATGAAGCGCGTGCCTTGCATTTGTGGCCATAAACAAATTTCTCATCACAATTGAAACATAGACCCTTATCTCTTTTCACTTGCATCTCTGCTTGACTTAAACGACGAATGGGGATAACTGGGATGGGTTTTGTGGAGTTGGGGTTTGGGAGGGCTAAAGGTTGAAAGGGTTTTGTATGGGACGATGAAGGAAATTGGGAATTATGGGATGTAGAAAAAGGGGGTTTAGCCGTCCAAGGGCGTATGGATTTTTCATCACTAAGCTGGTCTTCAAAAACTTTAGCTAGAGCTAACGCTTCATGCCAATCACCTGGCCTTTGAGGTAAAACCAAACGGCAAATGCGAGATTTAAGTCCTGAAATAAACAACCCACGTTTCATAGTGGCAGAGAGGCCAGGAACCTTGCTGGCCGCAACCTCAAATGTAGATTTATACTCAGCCACAGAACCTTACTGCTGAAGTTTAGCAAGGGCACCTATGGGCTCATCGAATTCAGATGGCCCAAAGCGTCTGTGTAGCGCTGTGACAAATGCAGCCCAAGTGGGTAGTAACCCTTCATCACTCAGTCCCCTAAACCAGCAAGCTACAGGGTCATCTAGATGGAATGCAACAATTAATAAACGTTCCTCTTTACTGATTCTATAATATTGGCAATATCTATCCACCGAAAACAACCATGAAGTTGGATCACTAGAATTAAATCGTGGAAAGTTAAGCTTAAGAGGGTGAGAAGGAACCAGATCTGTATTATTGGTGTGAGATTTGGAACTTAGTCCAGATCCCAAAATTCCTGAGTGAGAATACGCTCCCTGGTTTTGAGCATCAAGTATCCACTGCAATGTCTATTGGATTTGTGCGTGTGATTCCTGGAGGTGAGCGTTAGACTCTTGGAGTCCTAAGTGTTGCTGCTCCCGAACCAGTTCTGCAGAACGCAGCTGTTGTTCTAGTAGATCTAATCGATGGTTTTGTTGTTCCAAAGCATCCAATCGCTGGGCTAAATCCCTCATTCTTGTGTTATCCGCCATGATCGGGTAGGATGAGTAAGCAACGAGAGCACCAAATTGTAATGAGAAATTACAAAATTTCCGAATTAAGGGGGTTGTTAGAAGAGAAGAGGATGAGAGAGAACGAAAGAAGAAAAAGTAGAAAGAAGATTCATTCAAAATATGCATATCTCATTCATACGATACTAACGTCTTTATAGTGCCCTATTCATAATGGGCCTTCCTACAATTATCAACCATTGTCTCTTATTACAGCATGTGAATTAAAGTACTTCTATTACCACTTCCCAGCCCAATGAGACATCAGTCAGTCTCATAGTCCTCCAAGTGTTGGGGCTTCTTGCGGATCCGTTTACTTGGGTCCAATTCATTAGGGAGATCCGTTACAGCATGGTTTCAAAGTTCTTGTATATGTAGTAGAGGTGGTAAAACAGGTTTGGGCCGACAGACGAGGTGAGTTTTTTAGAAAAGTACTGGGGCAATCAAACTCTTTTTTTTTTTGGTTTACTAAAAGAAAATGAAAAAAAAAGTGGATTGACGAGGCGGGACGGGCTGGCTCGTTTGTAGGCGGATTGATGGGAGGGCGGGGCGGGCTACCCGCTTTGCCACTTCTATATATGTATAAGAGAGTTGTAATTTATTAAGCTATATTCATTAATATCTATTAACTAATTACTAAATCCTAATGAAAATCAACAATTGAGAGGAAAAATAAATTTTCTTATTCTTGGAGTCAAATTTAAAGATTCATATATATATATATATATATATATATATATATATATATATATATATATATCGACTTATCGTTTCTCAAGCTACTTGAGATAATTTTATCTCCGGCTACTAAATCATAACCGTATAAAGATGAATTAATGGTAATGAAGGAAAAGAGAGAGAAAAGGAATCATAACCATTCAAAGGTGAATCAATTAATATAAGAAAATAAATAAACAAAACGACCTAGTTTTGGGGTGCCCAGAGATAAACTTATCTCGAGTTACCAGAGAAATATTTTTCACACACACACACACATATATATATATATAAATGAATGACATGTTTGATTCTTATGTTAATTAAGAATTTCTATCACTAAACATTTTGCTGTACACCAATTAATTGTATTTTTAATTAATAATTCTCAATTCTTTATTTTTATTTTCTAAAATATATGTACATGTGTGGAAGGATTAAGTCATTAGTTGTTTTACATATATATGGTGAGCAATATGTGTTATCAGTCACTCTTCTTAAGAACCAAGTGTAGTGGTTTTTGTATAGTAATTTACATGGATGTAATAATCATAACTCAACATTGAGCTCATTCACTTTTTATTTAAAAGTTAGGCATTCATTTTAGGAATAAATCTTCAATACTTATTATTTAATAATTTTTTGTAGAATATTAATTTAATAAATTCAACCATTGAATTATGTGCTGAAAATATTGCGATCAATTAAAGTAAAGAAAAAAGGAAAAAAATTTATCCTAATTCACCTCAGTTTAAGCTTATGTCGAACAATAGTTTTTTATTATTTATTATGCTCACAACTCTCATTAAAATCATTCTGTTGTAAAATAATAAAAATATTATCAAAGCCATAAGTTGCAAAAATTATTCATGAGTCTAATTTCAAACAATCAAAAGAATTCAAGGTCCCAAAAAATGTAAGGCATCTGCAAGTGCATGGGTGTTGTCCCAAACACCCCTGTGTGGGTCAAGGGATATGTGTCAACCAAATAAATGGAAAGTACAAAACATACTCAATATTATGTGATATTATCTTTATGTTCATACTAACCACATTTTAAATAAATCAAACATTCATAAGCATTCAAACATTCATTTGATATAAGTGCAAAAAATAGCTTTTAGTAATGGACAAAATCCGTCACCCGAAAGGTATAATCCGTTACAAGTTTGATCTGCGATGGAAATTACAAGAAAAATAAAGTTGTCGCAAAAAGTCTCATTGCAAACTTTATTTGCGATGGATTTTGGGCATTCCAAAATGCATCGCAAATTGCTACGGTTATATTCTGATGCAACATTCAATAATTCCGTCGCAATTGGCAGAGCTGTCTACAGTGTTATTCTATCACAAAATGCAACGAATTTTTCATCACAAGTTTCCATCACAAATTTGCGTCGGATAAGTGGGTGAAATATCATCGCAAATTTGCATCTAAAGTATTTTAATAATTTATCACAAACTTTGTGACGTGATATGAAAGCCTAATCGGTCGCAAGACTTGTGTTGGAATAAGTGATCTCAACCTGTCGCAATTTTGCGAGGGAATTAACATATTCCATTGCACTATGGCGACACAATCTGCGACTGAAACTGGACAAAAGTCTATCGCAATTGGATGAATTAGAAAAAAATAATATACTTATTAAACTTCTTCTTGTACATAGCAATCACTCAAATAAAGAAAAATATATTAATGAATAAACAGTACTGAATGATGTATTAAAAAAATGTATAAATGTATACAGTAGCAATCCTAAAAAATTATACATAAACAAACAAAACATAAACAAAAATGTTGCAAACAAAATGAAGTAAAAAGAACTATAATCATAAATAATGTCTGTAAAGTAGCAGCCTATAAGTGATCATCATCAGCACTCGGAGCCGGTCCCTTGTTCTTGTTGTTGTCCTATTTCTCCTTCATTAGTTCCCGGAGTTGTTCTTGCATTTCCCTCATCATGTCTGCTTGCTGCTGCATCATCTCCGCTTGCCAATTCACTAGCTGGTTTGTAGCATTCAGCTATGTCTCCAGCTTGGAAGTCTTCGCCTAATGTTCAGCTTCCATGTGGGTAACCAACGCCTTAATCCTTTTATGCTCATATACAAATACATCATTAGAACCTAAGTTAATTTTTTGTACTTAATTTAAATGGACTAGGGAGTGAAAATGCAAAACAATTATGAAATGGGCATTACGTTTACCTACATAAACACCTCCAACCTAGATGGATGAGCGCTTGGTAGGTCTTAGTCGGCTGACAGATACTCCCAATCCGAACACCCTTTCTTTATTGTCAAATCCTCCTACAGCCTTAATGAAGAGGTTTTCGTTATCAGACTAAGAGAAGCTGGATATGGGGTCTGTCACATACTGCGTAGCCCGTTCCTCTTCAAACTTGCAATAGTTTTCCTACAAGAAAAAATAACCCACCAATGTGGACATGTAATATAAAATAAACATGTTACTTGTTTGAAGGGGTATAATATGTTGTCTGTGTAGAGCCATATATGTATCCCCCAAGGGGTATAATATGTCAATCTAACGGTACTCTAAAGTAATGGTAGAGACTAAGGCTCAACATGAGTTTCCCATGTACTGAAAAATATATTGCAATAGGGGTGTGTGTGTAATTGGCTAAGGTGGTTCCACATTTAACAGAGTTAGAGCTCATAAGAAGAGTAGACTAGAAGATGCCCTTTTAATGGGAGAAAGGGTTATTTAGAGATGAGAGGTCACTCTCAAGCGTGGGGAGAGAAAGATGTGTGTGTCCAGAGTTATACCACCTAGCTAAGCCTTGTCTTTGAGATAAGGCAGGCTACGCCGACTGTCAATGTATAGTGAGCAGCAATACAGGGATAAGAGAAATCTCTTATGTTGAGCTTTTATGACTCATCATGTAGATGTGAGCTATTAATATTGAGCCCAATTTACTGGGTCTAAAAAAGCTGGCCAGAAGAGGCAGAACCCTAAAAATTGAACCAGGAGGCAAATATTAACATCCAAAACAAGATGAAAAACTTGGATTCATTAACCATGTTATTCTGAATGTAATCTTGAGAATTAAGTGTATGTTATCCTCTCACGTCACATAATCTCATATGATCAGATGATTTTATTTATTTATTTTAATTTTGTCCATTAATTCATCTATTACTTAACTAATCCGGTTCAAATTGAATAGGATTACAAGAACAATAAAATTTTTCATATCAAGTTTTTAACACATTTATATACTTAGAACACAAACTTGAAAACACCTCTTTAAGATAGAATAATCATATGCTAGTTGATTCACTTACTTAATAATATGATTTTAATCGTTTATAAATAAATCAAAACTTGATGAAGGAAATGATGGTAATTTACACGTGTAATATCGGGACGTTGTAAAATCCAAGCTGAATTTCTTGTTATCTTTCCCATTAATTGGCCTCCACTCTAGTACAGTAGTTCATGTACGGAACATTTTATTGAATGGTATACTGTACATAGTGTGGAAAGTGGGAAGTGGGAAGTGGAAACGGTTCCATTCCCACCATCGTTTAACTCCCAAACTCCCAGGCAGTATCCAACGTAAATCCTTAAACAATGCCTTGTTCACTCTCTCTGTCATCTCTCCCTCTTTTTCCTCACCACAAAACTACTCCTTTCCCTCTCACTCTAAAATCTTATCCACTTCACCACCTCAATGTGAAATCCTCAATTAACAAAAATCCCTCCACCGATTCCAGTTCCAACTCCAACACCGACAACAACACCAAACCCAGTTCCTGGGTAAGCCCAGATTGGCTTACTTCACTATCTAGGTCCCTAACCACAGGGAAAGACGATTCTGGCATTCCTCTAGCAAGTGCCAAGCTTGATGATGTTTCTGATCTTCTGGGTGGTGCTCTTTTTCTCCCTTTGTTCAAATGGATGAAAGAGTATGGCCCCATTTACCGGCTTGCCGCTGGCCCAAGAAATTTTGTGGTAGTTAGTGACCCTGCCATTGCCAAGCATGTGCTCAAGAATTATGGGAAATATGCTAAGGGTCTTGTTGCTGAGGTCTCAGAGTTCCTCTTTGGGTCTGGTTTTGCAATTGCTGAAGGTCCACTCTGGATGGTAATGTTCAATTCTTCAAGATTATTCCAATTCTGGTTTATGTGGTTATGAGCTTGTTTTGAATTTTGAGACTGAACCAATGTGTTATGGCAATGTGGGTGGTTTTGCTTCTGCTTTAGACTTTACAAGTGTTAAGCAATGAGATGCAATATCTAAATTTGACAGCATACTCTTTCTTTCTCAATGTTCTCAATCTTTATAGCTGGTTTTCTTATATTATAATTATTTGATTCATTTGTAGTTAAATTGGTGCTAGTTGTTCTTGTCATGATTTTATAGGTTATTTTGGGTAACCGGCTCTTTTTGATAGCTATTTGCTTATATGTATTAGGCGAGGCGCAGGGCTGTTGTTCCATCTCTTCACAAACGATACTTGTCAATTATAGTGGATAGGGTATTTTGTAGATGTGCTGAGAGATTAGTGGAGAAGCTACAACCTGATGCACTCAATGGAACTGCTGTTAACATGGAGGACAAGTTTTCGCAGTTGACTCTTGATGTTATCGGTTTATCTGTATTCAACTACAACTTTGATTCACTTAATGTGGAGAGCCCTGTTATTGATGCTGTTTACACTGCATTGAAAGAGGCAGAGGCTCGATCAACTGATCTTTTGCCATATTGGAAGGCAAGTTCTTTCTCATTCCCATTTATGATATGGATTTTTTTTTTCTGTGTTCATTGTGCCATTTTAATGCTGTTCTTTGTTGTTGCAGGTTAAATTTCTTTGTAAGATAATCCCAAGACAAATAAAGGCTGAAAAGGCTGTTAGTGTTATCAGGAAAACTGTTGAGGATCTTATTGAAAAATGTAAAGTGATTGTAGAATCTGAGGGTGAAAGAATTGATGTTGATGAATATGTGAATGACACTGATCCTAGTATCCTCCGGTTCTTGCTTGCCAGCAGAGAAGAGGTTTGCTGTATTTTATTCCTGACATATACTATGCTTTTATCACTGTGTTCTTATGCGGGTTGTTGTATACTCAGAATGTATAATAATGGGGGTTTGATACGAATTACATGAAATATAAAGTTGCTTTTCCTGTTAGATTATAGATCTATCGAATGCTTCTGGAAATGTTAAGGTGCATTGGTGTAGATGAACAGTGCATTGATTTTATGTGTGCATTAATGGTTGTGGTGTCATTATCTAACACTATGTTCAACTTACTAAAGCTGAGATGTTGTTTAATCATAGCACAGCCAAGTAAATTCCATCCTGTAATTCTTTATCGTTTACTTAAGAATGTTCATCTTTTGCCATATCTTTTCTTGGTCAGAAATGTTACTTTTTGAAAAGTTATCAACCATGTAGTATTTTGTGATTTCTGGTCTTCTGTGTATTAGGGTGTAGTTGTGCTTATTCCATAAGGAGACAAATTTTGGCTTTTCATGTTCTTTTAGTGTAGTTGTGCTTATTGCTCAATCATTGAGTTTCTATTTTTCCTTTAGTTACACTACCGAGTATGAATGTCTGCTCCGCCATCACTGCCTTCCGAAAATATGGCATATCTGTTGATGATGATACTTTTTATTGTTCTTTTTCTGTGTAATCAGTCATCACAACTTTGTATAATCTACCTTTATACTTTATAGTATGAATAACTTTTTTTTCTTTGAATCTCCGTTCCTCATGTTGTTTATTTTTGCTTGATGGTTCTACATATCAGGTTTCTAGTGTGCAATTAAGGGATGATCTTCTGTCACTATTAGTTGCGGGTCATGAGACCACTGGTTCAGTGTTGACCTGGACAATTTATCTTCTAAGTAAGGTATCATTTTACTTTTCTTCACTCTACTTTTTCTCTTTTCCTTCTAAAAGATAATGCTTTCATTTTTTCCCCAACTTTATGAATTCCCTGCAAAGACTCCCTCCAATTCTCATCAGTATCAATGAGTAGCTGTTGCATATTTTTGAAGGGGTAATGCGGGAATCAATATATGCATGGTTCTTGTGATCCTGCTACATTGCTTTGGATTTCCCTTTCGAACCTTGAATTAATCATCCAATTACAGCATTTGTTTTCTGAGTCTTCAAAACTAATCTAGCTGTTAACGTGGAAATTTGAAAACTGTACAACCAGTTTAACCCGGTTCAAAGATATTAACATCAAAAGCATTGTTCATGACTTCATAACCTTCTAATTTTTTTCAGCTTCCAGAATGATTAATGGACTTTGTGAACATTTATCCATTCTTATTTTGAATTTTGTATGTCTCTATTTATGTGTTATAACGTATAGTTGTCAGTACTGTGCAAAAAACAAGAGCTCCACCATGGTATTCCCCCGGTAAATTATAAGCTCTATATAAGCAGGATTCTTCCTCATTGGCAAAAGCACAAGAAGAGGTAGACAGAATTTTACAGGGAAGGCGTCCTGCCTATGAAGATATTAAAGATCTTAAGTTCTTGACACGCTGCATTATTGAGTCACTCCGGCTTTACCCACATCCTCCTGTAAGCTGCTATGTTTCTCCTTACAATGATTTTTAGTACGGACATCTATCTGAGATGCAAAATTTATTGTAATTTGTATTATCTTTTGTGTATGACAGGTCTAAGGTTATGCTTGTTATGAAGATAAGTTAGCATGGTAACATAGAAAATTGATAGTTAAAACTAATATGACAAGCGGGTTGTGAGAGGAAAATTTGGTGATCTAACGATCTTGATTATTGAAATTTCGGAAAGCCAGTGGCTTCTAGGATTTGTGACTTTGGTCGTGGGACCTGAGGTTAAGGATAGAAATTAAGAAACTGCTAGGGAAATCAGAACAGAAATTAGTTGGCTCCTGTTACTGTGTGTGGCAAGTGCTCAAGCACAAGATCTTTTTCCTTCTGTTTAGATTGTCTTGGAAACTTAATAAGAAGTTTTTTTTCTTCCCCTATCACTCCTATTTTGGTAATGGTTTAGTTGAAACTGAAAGAAGAAAGATATAAACAAAAAATGAAGGGCCCTTAGCTTTCACCAAAGTCTAACGGTGAAGGAGGTTAAATAAAAGTCTCACTCTGCTAAAGAAAGCAAAATTTTGGGAATATTATAGATGAAACTATGCTAGTTGTCGGTATTCTTTGATGACATAAGTTAATCTTCTTACAGAAATTATTGTTTAGAAGAAAAATCTCAACCCAATCAGATAAATCTAAATAAACACTATTGTAAAATATCATTATAATTGTTGAAATTATAGGGTTTAGGTATAGATGGAGGAGAAAAGATAGAGAGATTAATAGAGACAGAATATCATATTATGAAGTGATTGATGTGATTACAAAAACAAAGCACTAATATTTATTTGTACTAAATAGGGGACTCCTAAAATAAGGAAACAAATCATGAAATATAAGAAAATAGGGAAACTAATCCTAAGAGATCCTCTAGGACACTTAAGTATATTAAAATATAATCTTAATATTGTACAATATCATTCAGATATTGTAACACTCCCTCTCAGATTTTAGGGAACTCGACAACGAAAAAGTGACGAGACAGGTCATGGAAGATGGTATTGTTTTGATTCCATGTTGGATTTATAGGGTTTAGGTATTGTTGAGATATATAGTCTCACTTTTCCCAAGGTTCTTTACATAGTATCAGAGCCTCGCCGCTAGGGGTGTTAACGAGCCGAGCCTAGCCGAGCTTTGGTCTTAACGGGCCGAGCTTGTGTTCAAATGTGTCAGACTGGCCTTAGCCTGTTACCTGTTACGAATATAAATCAGCCTGTGACCTGGCTCATTTACAAAAAATAAAAGCCTTGTTTAGCCTGTTTAAAAAAAAGAATACAACAAAAATTTATCCAAACAAAATACAATCAACAGTACTAGTAATTCCATAAATATTCATAAATTTAATGTATATCCAAATAGCATAATATAAAACAAAATCATTTAAAAAGTCTGTTTAATTAATAAAATGGGATTAAATGAATTGAGAAGAGAAAGAGGGCAATCACAAGTAGTATAAAAAATAAAAAAATAAATAAAAAAAATAAAATATTAGGCAAGCCTGAGAGGCTCTAAGGCCGAGCTTTTGAATTGGAGCCTGAGGCCTTTTTATTAAACGAGCTTTTATACAAGTCCAAGCCTGGGTTCAACAATCAATTTTAGACATGTAAGCTCAGGCCTTCACGAGCCGAGCCAAAGGCCCCTGTAAGGCCCCTGACTCGTTTAGCACCCCTACTCGCCGCCCCTCACTTTCTCTTGTGGACTTTTTTAGCACAGCCTAGCCTGTTGCATTGTCTACTCTTCAAGCCCAAGGAGCTCTTGTGTGAGGGGGCGTGTTGAGATATATAGTTCCACATTGGTTGTATGTGCAACTAATGTGGAGTTTATAAGGCCTTGGACACTCCCACCCTTTGAGCTAGCTTTTGGGGTGGTGTATCCCAAAGTTCTTTACAGGTATAGATTGATGAACAATCATCTCACCTAAAAAGTTTAAGCTTGTAAGTGAAGGCTTATCAATAGTTTTTATATTATATCTCTGTAACACACCCCCTCTGGAAAGAGCCCTTTGGGCTTGAAGCGTGGATATTGCACATATTCATTTTGTTTGTTCTACCTTGTGTTGACTGAATTCCACTAGAAATTCTTTTTGGGGAGGGAAGGGTTGAGGATTGAACTCGTAGGCTCTGATATCATGATAAACAACCATCTCACCTAAAAGCTTAAGCTTGTAAGTGAAAGCCTATCAATAGTTTTTATATTATATCTCTTTGACATAGATGGAGGAGAAAAGATAGAGAGAATAGCATAGACTGAATATTGTGTTATGAGGTGATTTATGTGATTACAAAAGACAAAACACTAATCCCTATTTATACTAAGTTGGGGACTCTTAAAATAAGGAAATAAGTCATGAAATATAAGGAAATAGGAAAACCAATCTAAGAGATCCTCTAGGATACTCTAAACTATATTTAGACATAATTAATATTGTATGATATCATCTGGATATTCTAACAAATAATATATCTGAATAGGGTAAGTTCACAGCTGCGTGTTTTAGTTTTTCAAATATGCTTTATTGGAGCTTACCTTATCAAATATCTTTCACTAATGTTATAGTTTATGATGGTCTTATATAACCTTATGCATCCTTAAGGTATTGATAAGAAGAGCTCAAGTTCCCGATGAGCTTCCTGGTGCTTACAAAGTCAATGCTGGTCAAGATATTATGATTTCTGTGTACAACATACATCATTCTTCTGAGGTATTACTTGATGTTGGTAAATTAAAAAAACTTTCGTGTGGCAATTGTGGCTTATCTGTTTGAATGTAGCCAAACCAGTATACTTTTGTTAAAAAATTTGGTGATGTGATTTTTAAATCACAGTAATGGGTCTTGTCCAGTACCAGTGTAGCTGAGTAATCAGCAGAGGATACCCATGTTTGTTTCATAAGCTGCCTGCAAGTTTTAATGACAATGGCCTATCATGTGACAAACCTCATAAATGAATGCCTTGTTGGCCTTCTTTTTTTATATGGACCCTCCTGTAGCTGACTTGTACCATGGTCAACTATCTGATTTGTTACAATAACCGCATATTATGGCTATTTCTATTGCAATCAAGGTTACGAGACATGTGAAGACAGCATAGAGCCTTTAATATTATGGTTTTCAATTGAGTAATTTAAATTGGTTAGAACCTGTTTGATTCCATTTCAAAAAGAATCTTCTATTTCCTTGTTTTTCCCTTTTTGTTTTAAAGGACAGGAGGAAAAAAAAAGAAAAAAGAATACTCCGGATTACAAAACAAGTTTGATTTTAGAGAGTATAAAAAAGTTATCCCCTGTCTCTGTTTCAGTTTCCAGTATAGAGATAATTGTATCATTAAAAGCAATTTGTTTTTATTATTACTGTTCATGATAATTATTAAAAAAAAATTCCGATCAGCAGTTTCTTTATTTAAATTATTGATATTACATAAACATTATGAGTCCTATCGTTATGCATTTGCTATGGTGATTGAGAAATAATGTGATACACACAATGTGTTGTTTTTTTTTTTTTCTTTCTTGTCATTTTGCTAGATTTAGTCTGATATGCAAGTTGTTGCACTATCAGAATGTTATTGCTTGCTTTTAAATTCACTATTTTGAATCTACTCTATAAGTTTCATTATAATTTTGCAAGGTTTGGAATAGAGCTGAAGAGTTTTTGCCAGAAAGATTTGATTTGGATGGTCCAGTGCCAAATGAAACAAATACGGATTTCAGGTGTGCATATACACTATCAAAGTGATAATCCTTGCACACCACACAAGTAGTGTGAATCACACACACCACTGTGGTAGCTAGTTTCTTATGCCTTACTTGCTAGTGGCTCAATATTTTCCTAATAAATTGCATAGATGCACCTTATCTTTCTTAGTCTTAGGTTTTTCTTCTTGTGTGGGGTGAAACTCAGATTTTGGTAATTCAAATCTGTTGCAGATTCATTCCATTCAGTGGAGGACCCCGCAAGTGTGTTGGTGATCAGTTTGCTTTATTGGAAGCTACAGTTGCTCTTGCAATCTTTCTACAGCACATGAACTTTGAGCTGGTTCCTGATCAGAATATTAGTATGACTACAGGTGCAACAATACATACAACAAATGTAAGGTTATCTACTTTTGTGTCTTTGATATGTGTTTTCTACAAGTGACTTGTTTAGTCTCACAGTTATCCACTTGTACCAATTTTCTAAGCTTTGCTAGTCTCACTTCATGTTTGCAAGAGTTGAATGAGAGCAAAAGAAATGTTTTTAGGTCTTCTGAAGCTTCATTTTTTTTTCTTTAATTTTTTCAAAACTGGAATAAAATATTTTAATTTCCTCACTTTCATTATCCTTAATTCTAACTCCTAAATACTCAAACAAAGGAACAGAGACTCACTTACATCTATCTTGAACATTTTTCTACATTTTTTTTTGCAGGGCCTGTACATGAAACTGAGCCAACGGTTGAAATAGTTAACATCTAGTTCATCTTCTTCTCGTAAGCTGTAAAATTGTCTATTACTATCAGCATATCAAATTCTTATGTTGATATGCTGATTGAAATTAGTTTCGACAATCAAATCATTTGTTCATATTTTCTAAATGTTGTAAAGAAGTTTAATTGAATTACAAAGTGAATAACTAGTAGAGACAAGTTCCATTTATAGAATCCTGGTCTCTACCTGAAATGTGAGATATATTATTACCTGTGTATATTAAATTAGAGTAATTTACACGAGAGTAATTTAATTACCTATGCTACTCTTCAAAAAAAAAAAAAAAAAAAAAACTAGATTAGTATTAAATTCAATACACCGATATTGTAAAATATAATTATTATATTTTAAATAGCCAAAAATTTTAAGTATAAACTTTGATTATAAAAAAATATGATTAAATTCTCTTTTAATTTAATTGTATATATCTTTTTTAGGTAATATCCTTTGACATCATTGTCAGACACCTTGTCTAAGAGTTGGTAGATAAAAAAAATCAATTGTGTCACATGCTTATAGATTTTGATCTAACGACTCTTAGATGAGTTGTCAAAATTTAAATTTGACACTGATGTCAAATGATTCTATCTCATCTTTTTCAGTTTTATTTTTTATTTTAAATATTTTTTTAATCGATACTGTTTAAAATTTTAGTTGAATATAAAAAATCTGTGCTTTGGACAGATAAACGTTGATAAAAGAATTAAGCTAGGAAGCAAGAGCATCAGTATGAATACAGTAAGGTACAAACTTTTTTTTTTGGTTTCTTGAGTAGTAAGTACATGCATACGAATACCATGTACCTTTTTTTTAGCTTAATTATACTTTGGGATCTGTTGAATATTATATTTGATTTGGTTGTTTGTAAATCTGTTACAACTGATAACAAAGATCTTAGGAGATTTGCTATTAAGTTGATTAGTATTATTTGCAGGTTGTTAGTTTGTTTGTAAAGTTTGTTACTGATGATAGGATCTAGAATCATCCCCTTGTGTATATATAGGGCGTGAATGTTGATGAATAAAATATAGAAGAATTATTTCATACCCGTATTCCTTTTGTTAACATGGTATCAAAGAGCTACGTTCTGATCTTGGGGTAGCTTCCTTTCCTTTTTTTTTCCAGCGTATTCTATTCCAAACAAAAAGACAAAATCCCATTTCTTTAATTCCTCTTAAACGAACCCGAACCCACACCACCACCCATTTTTTTAATCCGTTTTATACCCGACCCGACCCACACCCTCTTTCTTTTTTCTCTTATTTGAATCCCTAGCAACCCAATGGCCGACGTTGACCCTAACCATGATCCCCAAAACGAAAATCAGCTTCCACCTCCAACCCCACCTCCGCAGATCGTCCTACAACCGGACCACTCTTCCCTCCCTGTCACCATTATCCTTGATGAAACCAACTACCCACTTTGGTCTCAACTTCTTGACATGCGAATCGGAGCTCGAAATAAGGGGGGTTTCATCTCCGGCGATACTCCCAAACCGAAACCCGACGAACCTACCTATAATACATGGGTGGCCGACAACAAACGCGTTAAAAGTTGGCTCATTGAATCCATGAGCCCACCTTTGATGCAACGGTTTATTCGCCTGGAAACGGCCAAGGAAATTTGGGACGCTGCCTCCCATACGTTCTACGACGGCTCTGACGAGACGTGCTTGTTCGAACTCAACCAATGGTCATTCCACACCAAGCAACTTGGTCGCCCCCTTTCCACTTATTATTCTGAGTTGTTGTCTATCTTTCAGGACATAGACCACCGGATGAATTCTCAAGCCACCACCGTCGCTGGGGTGGTTCATCTCCATTCTGCCATGACACGACTTCGGGTCCACATTTTCCTTAGTGGCCTCGATCCTGAATTCGACTCTGTTCGCGGGGAAATCCTCCGCAAAGATCCCAAATTGGATCTTGAAGGCTCTTATGCTTTTGTTCGTCGTGAAGTTCAACAACAATTCACCATGGGTAACCCGAAGCAGTCTTCTGATCACACCGCCTTGCTGACTCATCCTCCTCGCTCTGTCTCTGTTCCTCTTCTTGCTTCTGCTGCTCATCCTGGTAAATTCAACAAGGATAGGTCCGCTCTACTCTGTTTGCACTGTGGTGAAAAAGGACACTCCAAACAGCGCTGCTACGAAATCATTGGATACCCTGAGTGGTGGGACTTTAGCAAACGCCCACGGAAGAAATTGCCTAGCAAATCTCTCACAACCGCTTCTGATCATCCCACACCCACTGCAAATGCTGCGTCTGCAGGTATATTAGGAAAACCTACTGGTCTTTCTGCACTCTCTTCGAATAATACCTGGGTGATTGATACAGGAGCCTCAGATCATATGATTCGGTCTCCTACTTCTTTATCCAACATTGGTCCCTCCTCCCAATCTGTTGTCTCCACAGCAAATGGTGGGGTTTCCCCCATTACTGGTCAAGGTTCCCTGACACTTTCTCCTTCCTTATCTCTTAATTCTGTTCTTGTGGTTCCCTCACTTGAATTTAATTTATTGTCTGTGAGTCAGATTACTAATGCTTTAAATTGCACTGTCACTTTCTGGCCTTCTTATTGCGAATTTCAGGACATTCCCACTCGGACGACCCTTGGTTATGGTGTTAAAAAAGGCAACCTCTACATTTTGGAACTCAATCATGGCCCTCATTCTCCTCACATGGCTCGAACCTGTTCTACCACTGCTGATCAAGCACAAGCATCTATCTGGCTATGGCATCGTAGGCTAGGACATGCATCTTTCGGTTATCTTCAGAAATTATTTCCCTCGTTGTTTTTGGCTTTGAATAAATTTGAATTTCAATGTGAAATTTGTAAATTGGCAAAAAGCCATCGCATTCCCTTTTATCCCAGTATCAATAAAAGTTCCGTCCCATTTCAAGTTATTCACTCTGATGTATGGGGTCCTGCTAAGGTCCCCTCTTTTTCCCACTCTCTCTACTTTGTAACGTTTATTGATGAATGCACTCGAATGACTTGGGTCTCTTTATTAAAAACAAAGTCTGAAGTTTTTCCTATGTTCACAAAATTTCACAACATGGTTAAGACCCAATATCACTCTTCTATCCAGATTCTTCAAACAGATAATGGCACGGAATATATGAAGGCATCCTTTGCTGATTTCTTTTCCTCTCTTGGCATTAGACACAACACTTCTTGCCCATACACCCCACAACAAAATGGTCTAGCCGAAAGAAAAAACCGACTTTTACTTGAAGTTGTTCGTGCTTCCCTTTTTGATATGAATGTCCTTAAACATTATTGGGGAGAAGCCATTGTCTCTGCTGCATACCTCTTAAATAGAACCCCTTCAAGTGTCTTACAATTCAAAACCCCTCAAAATAAATTGGAATCTTATTTCTCCCTTCCTCATATTCCAAATCTTGAACCTCGTGTCTTTGGATGCACTGCCTATGTCCATGTCCCTAAGGTTCTGCGAAATAAGCTAGACCCTTGTGCCAAAAAATGCATTTTTGTCGGTTACTCTGAATTTCAAAAGGGTTACAGATGTTTTGATCCTTTTACTTGTAAGATGCATGTTACTTTGGAAGCCTCCTTTCATGAATCCACACCATTCTACTCAGGGGGAGTTTCTAATTCTCCTTCTCAGGGGGAGAAGGGGTATATCTACAATAGAGAAGAAGAATTCTGGACTTACTCCCCCACTGCACCTGAAATAGCACCTGTTGCCGCACCACTTCATCACTCAAATATGCCAGAAACAGTCCCTGATGTATCTATGAATGATACAAATTTATTGCCGGATGAGACACCAACCGTAACACCTATAACCGAGGCTCAACCAGTGGATGTCCCTACACAGACACTTCAAACCGAAAATGAGGTAATTTCTAGCCTTCCATTACCCTCTTCTATTGTCAATTCTAATACTTCTCTTCACCTTTCTACCGAAAACACCAGAAAATCACAAAGAGCTACTAAAGGAATACCTAAACAAATGTATGAACCAGACCCTACAATCAAAACTAAGTATCCCATCAGCCAGTATGTGTCCTCCCATAGGCTGTCCAAATCATATGCTCTGACTACTGATCTTTTATCTAATGTATCTATTCCTAACAGTGTGCAGGAAGCATTGGAGGACCCAAAATGGAAGGAAGCTATGAATATCGAAATGGAAGCCTTACAAAAGACATCAACTTGGAGATGGTTCCATTACCACAAGGAAAGAAGACCGTTGGATGCAAGTGGGTATTCACAGTAAAGTTAAAGGCCGATGGGAGCATTGATAAGTACAAGGCTAGATTAGTAGCAAAGGGATACACCCAGAAGTACGACATTGATTATCAAGAGACCTTCGCTCCAGTAGCTAAACTCAACACAATTAGGATCTTAATCTCTATAGCTGCAAATAGGGATTGGCCCTTGAAACAATTCGATGTCAAAAATGCATTCTTGAATGGAGAATTGGAAGAAAAATTCTATATGGAGATACCACCGGGAGTCAAGACGGCTGCCATACAAGGAAATAAAGTGTGCAAGCTAAAAAAGGCCTTATATGGACTCAAACAATCTCCCAGAGCATGGTTTGGAAGAATCTCCTCAGCCATGAAAAGATTCGGGTACAAACAGAGCAATGCAGATCATACTATGTTCATCAAACATAAAGAAGGAAAGGTAACCATACTTATAGTTTATGTAGATGATATGGTACTAACTGGTGATGATTTTTGTGAAATAAACACATTAGAACAGCAACTGGCAGCAGAATTCGAAATGAAGAATTTGGGGGATTTGAAATACTTCCTTGGTATTGAAGTTGCAAGATCAAAACAAGGAATTGTCCTATCACAAAGGAAATATACACTGGATCTACTAGCTGAAACTGGAATGCTAGCATGCAAACCTGTGGAAACACCCATGGAAATGAATCATACTCTTGGTATTTATTCTAATCAAGACAAAACTGATATCGGAAGGTACCAAAGACTAGTAGGAAGGCTGATCTATCTATCACATACAAGGCCAGATATTGCATATGCAGTAAGCATTGTAAGTAGGTTCATGCATAATCCTAGTGAAGACCATATGAATGTTGTTTTTCGAATTCTAAGGTATCTAAAAGGATCTCCAGGAAAAAGCTTGCTGTTTTCAAAAGTAAGTAACCAAAGAGTTGAAGGATACACAGATTCAGATTGGGCAGGAGACAAA